GGGGGGGGGGGGGGGGGGGGGGGGGGGGGTACTCATGCAAATGCATGCCGTAGAAGCATTGACCTCGCATTCCTACAATGCCGGGGCGGAGCGATATGCCGGGTTGTTGCCGGCCGAAGCCGCGTTTCGCAAGGATGAGCCAGCGGATGACGAGATTTAGTGCTGTTCGAAGGATAGGTACCTTTGCTTCTGTTGTGTCACCACTGCAGGTAGACAGGCATCCAGATAACAGCTGTTCCGGCTTCCTCCGGCCCTCTGCTTCCTTAGAAAGGGTGCGTGGGTAGACTGCGGTTTCTCGCTGCGCCTCCCCGTCTATTGCATTGCGTACCCTGCGAAGTTCGGAGATAGTACGAAACAAGACTCAGTAGCGAACCCCAAAATTGTTAGCTCTGTCGAAAGGCGAAGCAATTGGTGAAGGATTACGCCAGGATGGACCGCGCGTTGCTATTAGTAAACCCCTTCAGGCTGCCCAGGGTCCATCCCACTCCTGTTTCCCTCTCTCCTCCTTTGTACCCACCCGCCCTCTACCACAACGTTTGCCAAGCCGCTATACGCCAGTGCCGGTCATTGTTGTTGTTTTTGGCGCTGCTGCTGTTGATGCCGTTGTTGATGATGTTTTGTACATGTCGCTCATTTTCTCCTCACCCCCCCTCCCCCTCCCATTCAGCGGAGCCGCTCGGAATCAACATCGCCGCGGAAAGCTTCAACCAAAGCGGAGATACACCGTTCGGTCCCCTCGAGAGGCTCGGGGTCCCCGAACTGCAAGATGGTCTGCACGCCTTCGGAATCTACGCGAACGTGGAGGTGAGGACCGAGGAGTGCCGTCGAGAGGCCAGACAGCCCTCTTGCTTGCGATCTCTTGTTTTCGCAGCTGCTTGTTCCTCCACACAAGGGGAAAGTTGCGTGCCGATGGCTAGGTGTGTCTTCGTGTGTGGCAGTGCACATGCCCGTGGAAGCAACACGAGGAGAATTTGTTTTGTGGGTGCATGTGATCAGCTTCAAACGACACATGTTTGGAACTAGCTCATGTCTTTCTTGTTGTCGTTTTTTTTCGTCCTTTGGTTTCTTGGGAACTACAAAACGAGGCAGCTTCAATGGGTTTTCGTTTTGATTCGCCGGGTTTTTTCTTAGCTGAAAGCGTCCCAGGGAATAGACTCAGTGCCCTCGACACTAGGCGTCGAGCACACGTGCTATGGGTGGCTGGCGAACACTCAGTGGACGCTGGGGATAGTGCACGGACGGGCCTGCTTCACGTAACTCCGAGGGAAGGACTAGAAGAGATCCACTGCCGCCAGAGAAACCAAATCCGAAAAGCAATAACAAGATGAAAATGGTTGTACGCACATGGAGAGATATACAGAGGGAAGATGAGGGTGCTGCAGCGGCAGCAAATAATATTTGTTGACCTCCGTTCCCTTCCTTTAGGGAAGCATTGAACAACCCAGGATACCCCTCCCGCCACGTGCTCGGGCGCTGAATTTCTTGCCGTGTGATAAACCCTCGTTCAGGCCGCGACGGTCTACTCCCTCTACACCGCGGACATGGAAAGGGTCTACCTCCGTCTCCGAGCCACCTTCAGAAACTCACTGCGGCTGCCGATCAGCCCCTTCTCTAGCTCGACCTGTCAGGCGTTTTCGGACGTAGGGTACCGCGGGGACCGGGGGGAGGTGGAGATAGAGGTCCTGGAAGGCGCCCATCGCAGCCAACACTGACGCAGCTGCTGCGCTGGGATTTCCCCATTTTGTTTTTTTGGTGGGGCCGGAACGACTTACGGAGGGTAGAATGAACGTTTCCCACGCAGCAGGCAGCGAGGATATTTGGTGGCTGTGCGGCTGTGGGCGGCGGTGGAACCTCCTGGCCCGTGCGCCTCACGGCCGGTTGTTGGCATTGTTGGAAGGCAAGCATCATCATCACCCAGACGATGGCCTTGGCCGGGTGCTTCGTACCTGGGTGCATTCGTTCTGCTTGTTGTGGTTAGGGGCTGCTTGCACATCAGCAGCAGACAGACCAAGACTCATGAATGGTTGGAATGCTGTAAAGCTGAAGGCGCTTGCGGCTGCTGTGCTGCTCCCAAGTGTGAATGCGTGTGGTTGTTCCGGTTGAAGCTGGCGATAGACCGAGCCGTAGAGGCTGCCCAGATGGACGCAGGCGGGAGTGTTCCTATGGCTGTCTACAGACACCGCCCGCAGGAACCGGCACATAATCCCCCGATGGTCAACGACGAGGTAGATTTCACTCCAGGGACAAGAAACAATTCTACCGACGGGGCCACCCCGATGGCACCTCCGCCATATAGCCAGCGGACTGCCCCATTTCCCTTCGTCCAGTTACTTTCTACTCGGTCGGCACGGTCCGGCCGACACGGTGCCGCTGCCACCCAAAAACCTCGCTCGGTTATTGTGTTTTTTCCAAACGGCCGCGAAGAAATTAATTTCACGGAATTCAACATTTTGCTGGGATGCGGTGGGCCGTTGTCGCATGCCGCCTCGTCCCCACGCCTCACGCCAGGGGCCATCACAACCGCGCCAAAACATGGGTCCAGCCTGCTGTAATGACCCTAACCCTGTGATGCCCTTGCCCTGAGAGTCTGTTCTGAAGCTTTAGCTTCAGTCTCATATTTCAATATCCGTGGGTGGGTGGAACTTTTATTCGCATACCCCACCCCTTGCCCCACCCGGTCTCAAATGCTGATCTCGAGCTACAGTGCAAATCTCGTGGCGTCCCAAGTATGGTTCGGTAGGGAATCGCAAACCATGACCCCTCCCCGAGTTTCAGCAGCTTCCACTTCCGCCGACCCGACTCGGCCTTGAATGTTCCTTGTCTGTTTCGCCATAGAAACGGCCGGTTGAACAGCGAAAGAGGGTCCTGCGTGCTGCGCGCCACAATTTGTTTTTGTTCTTCCTGAGTGACCATGCTGCTGTTGCTGAATTGCTTCAGACAAGGTTGTAGGCTATCGTGTCTGTCGCTTTGGGGTGCACGCGTCGCGTAGTAGGCGATGCGCGTCGCTTACTTTGTCGCCCGTTGTGTCGTTATACAAAAGCACCAACAGCACAACAGTTGAGACAGACAACAACAGGCCTTTTTTCTCTCTTACTGCACATGCATGGGTGGTATGCATCGTTTAGTCTAAGCGGCGTATGCATGGGTGGCATTCATCGAGTAAGGGTGTTGATGATTTTTGAGTCTGCTGCGTAGTCAGTCGTAACTTGAGCAATAAGGTAGATGGCAGCACAATCTTATTTACAACAGAAAGTGAGGAATGACAACCAACAGTCTGCTGCTCTGTGCAACGGTGCACATCTATCGCGGACGGACTAGTTCGTCCGTGTAGTCATGTTTTTTGTTCTCACTTCGTCACAGAAGGATGAAAGTCCGCACTACTCTAGTCTAGTTCCAACTCGGCGACTTGTGGTTGTTGTGCCTGTTGTTGCTGAGCCCACTTCGAATACCGCCGTTCGGTACAGATGTCTGACAGCCTGCGGTGGGCCAAAGGGACGAGAGTGAGTGAGTGTCTTCTCGAGAGTGAATGCCGTGTCTTCTCTCCCCTCTCTCCTTTTAGTCTACCTGTCTCTCTCTCTCGCCTTTCGCCGGTGGGGTCCCAACAATATCGAACTACGTCAACCGCAGTGGTTTCGCATCTTGCTGAGTAAGAGACTACCCGTGCACCGGGCTGCTGCATGAGAGGCGATGTGCGCTACCTGTTTTATGTCAAGCAATGGACTTGGGGCCCTACCTAATGCTGGACATGCAGTGCTATATGTGACATGTTCCAGCGGCCCAGAGCGAGCGACCACCACGGTGGGTTTTCTATTCTTCTTTTGCCTCCTCCCTCAAGCCTGTCGCGCCTGGTTCACTTGTCTATGATCTTCTTTTTATCTTTTTTGATGCTTTCTTTGTTTGTTGGGGTCCCCCAGCCACCCGCCCACCATTATTTTTTGTTGGGAGGGGTGTTTACTTGCCATGTTCATGACTGGGCCCCGGACTTTTTACTCGCACCCCGTCCATTCCACTTGTCAGCACACCATCACATCCTTTGTACCATGCCCACCGACACATCTAAGGCTTGGGGAATTTTGAAGGTTTAGCTTCAGTCTCATCGTTCAATATCCGTGGAAGTTTCATTCGCATGCCCCACCCCTTGCCCGACCCGGTCTAATGTGCTGATTTCGAGCTACAGTGCAAATCTCGTGGCGCCTCGAGTATGGTTCGGTGTGGAATCGCAAGTCATGAGCCGTCCCCTAGTTTGAGCGGCTTCCGCCTCCTGTGGCCGGCAAGAGTCGGCCTTGACTGTTCCTTGCCTGTTTCGCCATGGAAAAGGCCGGTTGAACATCGAAAGAGGGTCCTGCGTGCTGCGCGCCACATTTTGTTTTTTTTTGCGTTTGTTCTTGAGTGACCATTGTACACATGCGGCTGCTGCTGCGGTTTCTGCTGTTATGGTCGGAATGTGCTGCAATGGTCGAACGGTTATCGTAGTCAGGTTTGACAACAGTCTGCTCGTTCGTATAGCGGTAGCGGTGCGCATCTATCGCGACGGCAGGCGTATTGAGATAATAGTTCGTCCGTCGTGCTTCTAGTCTACAGAGTAAGAGACAGATAGTCGTGTTCTTCTTTGTTGCCACTTCATACCAGAAAACAAAGAAACTCTCGGCCAACTTACCGTATCTCCACAGCAGTTCGGAAACGACGACTATTTTTATTTTGTCGTGTTTGTTGTTGCTGAGCGCACATCGGATGTCGCCGTTCGTTACACGTGTTCAAGCCTGCGGTGGGCCAGAGGGATGAGAGTGAGTTTCTTCTCGACGAGAGTTCATGCCTTGTCTTCTCGAGTCTCTCTTCCTTTAGTCTACCTCTCTCTCTCTGTTGCATTTTCGCCGTTAGGGTCCCAAAAACATCGAACGTCAACGGCAATCGTTTTGCGTCTTGCTGTTTATTAGGCTACCCGTGTACCCGGCTGTTGCATGTGAGGCAATGGGCGCCGCCTCTTTCCGTCAAGCAATGCGCATGGCCCCTACGGTTCGCCGCACATGCAGTGCTGTGTGACAGCTTCCAGCGGTTCAGAGCGTCGACGGTGTTTTTCGCCGGTAGAGCCCCAGAACAACGCGAACCCCGCGACTGTTTCATTGTTTTGGGGTCCCCCACTCACCCACTCATCCATGAATTTCAGCAGTTTTCGTTGGGGGGATGTTTTTCTTGTCATGTCCATGACGTGGTGCCCCGAACGAGTATGGTTCGGTAGGGACTCGCAAACCATGACCCCTCCCCGAGTTTGAGCATCAGCTTCGGCCTCCTGTGACGGACAAGAAGACCGGAAATTGTCTCGCCATCCAAACAACAGTTGGCCGGTTGAAACAAATAGGGTCCGGTCCGCCGAAGGTTTTGTTTTTATGTTTCCCTGCCGACAAATAGCCTCGGCTACGGCAGTGCAAATAAATCTCATGGCGCCTCAAGTACGGTTCCGTAGGGAATTGCAAATCACGACCTCTCCCCGACTTTGAGTATAGCTTCCACCTCCTGCGGCGGATAAGACCGACGTCAAATCGTAGATTTTGTCTGTCTGTGTCGCCATGTCGTCACCATCCACGAACAGCAGTTGGAGAGTCACAACAAAGAGCGTCCGCTTCGCCACCAAGAAAACAGTTTTTTTTCGATTCTGATGCAACCACAGCTAATAATGTTAGTCCACGACGATGAGGATGTCAAACGATAGGTTTGTTTCGGAAAGCTATCGGTGCCAACGCCGCCCGGCCACGATTTCTGCTGCTGTGGAGTAATCGAGCTTTGAAAATTAAAAATTGTTCAGGGGATGGATGTGATATCTTATGCCATCTACTCTGTGTATAGAACTCTTTGTCGTGCTCGGTGGGCGAGCGTGTCGCGGTGTGCGCCCTCGACTTTAATTACGGCTAAAAAATTCGAAAGCTTCAGACAGGCAACGCGACGATACTCGTCGAGTTGCTATCACAATAGGAAACTGCGCCATTCAACAACATCGTCGGGGAACACTGGCAACATGCTTCTCCCGAGTGCCACATTAATTTCAACACGCGTCAGCTGCTGTCCGTATCTCCAAACTCTTTGGCCCGCGCCCATTTGCACGCCCCCCTCCGCTTGTCTACACCCAAAGAGAATATTTGTCCTCCGGGTACGACGCGTGTGTGCGCCAAGAGCAACGCCGGCAATGTGCCGAGCAAAAGGGTTTCTTTTCAAAGTTGGAGATAGCCGTCAAGGAGCAAATTGGCCGCTACAGTAGTGTGTTAGTGGCACCCCATCCCGCGCGCGGGCAGGCCGTGCGTGCGCCAGCCCGAAAGTAGACGGCATCACCGTCGACGAACAGCAGCAACGCAAACGGTTTAAGGTGATTCAGACCGCGCGGATGCTGGAGAATTTCACCGGGGGATTGCGGCGTAGAACAGTTTCTAGTCTACAGCAGATAGGTGCATCATATTTGGACCATTCGCTGTCAAACAATGATGTGTAGACGCGACGGTGCAGAGAGATTTGACCCAAGTCAGTCAAGTCAAAATAGATTATGAGCTACTGGATACAATGGGAACATCCACATTCATTTGATTGGTTAAATCTATCGCCATGATGCGAGTTGTCCACCCAATCTGTGTAAGATGGATGGCTGTCACGAGAAGCAGCACATGGATCGTGCGCTATCGTGCGTAGTAATTCCGCCGCATGTCCTCGAACCGGTCGTAATTATGCC